TTCCTACCCTCTCTCTTATGATATGTAAAAGAAAGGAGAAATGTTCAAAACCTGCTTCTCAGCTCAAATGCTAACAGCATAATAAAGTGTACAGAAATGAGGAAAATAATTAAGCCTTCCTCTCTTAACCCTTGTTCACATCATATTTACAAATAGGCATTTTCCCTTCCCCTTTGCCTTACCGGGTCAACAAGTACGTACTGAGTATCTGCTACATGTCCAGCCCTGGGGTCTTCCCATTAGAGGTAAAGAAGTGTAAGACAGTTCCTGACTTCTAAAATTTTATAATCTTCAGTGGGGAGATGAATGAAAAATCATGAAGCCATTCATAATCGGTTCAAGATGATATGAAATGCTGCATAATTAAGCACTAAGAGAGTGTGGTACAGATGACAAATACTACTGGAATACAGAGTAGGAGAAGGCAGAAGAAAGGGATTGGAAACTAACATCTATGAAGCATCAACTCATACCAGGCATTGGACGCTCGAACACTCATGTCATTCTCACCTCCCTCCTACAACAACAGGATTGGGGTCGGGGAGAGACATGTAGGCTGGGGTGGTCACAGAAGGGAACATGAGTGAGTGAGTCTCTTGAGCCAGGCTTGAAAGAGGTGGAGAAGAGTGAAGAAGGTGAAGGAACCGACATAAGTAAATGTGTCAACTAGTCATATTATGGGGAATGGGAAAACTGCTGTGGAACCCTAGGATGGAGCATGACTATGGAGAGCCTCAAACACCAGGCAGACCCTTGAGATATATTTTAGTCAGAAATGGCAAGATAGTGATGATTACTGGACAAAATAAAAATATCTTGTGTCATTAATCACCGTTTAAAACGGTAGAGGAAGAATTCTGAAATGGAAGGCAGAGGAACTTACGTGGAGGAAGTAGTGTAGGGGCTGTATTCTAGCATATGGTGGTAGTAGAAGTTGAAATGAACACATTACCAAAGAGATTCCATAGGAATGAGTGGCAGGACTTAGAGACTGATTAGTAATAGGGACATAGGAATATATCCTTAATATAGGAGATGGATTCATCAAAGACAGCCCTAGAGGTTTAAGTATAAAATCTGGGGTAAATGTTGGCAGGCAGCAAAGCATGGTAAATAAAACATGGGCTCTGAAATTAGCAAAGCTGAGTGTGAGTCACAGCACCATTACTATGTAACCTTGAGCAAATTACTCCTCTGCATGGGGATAATAATAGTACCTCCTTCCTTGGTTTGCTGTGAGAATTACACAATAATGATTATTGAAAAGCACTTAGAACAGCACCTAGCACACAGTCAACATCCAGTAAGTTTTAGGTATTACTATTTTTTTTATTTTTTTTTTTTTGCGGTACGTGGGCCTCTCACTGTTGTGGCCTCTCCCGCTGCGGAGCACAGGCTCCAGACGCGCAGGCCCAGCAGCCATGGCTCACGGGCCCAGCCGCTCCGCAGCACGTGGGATCCTCCCGGACCGGGGCACGAACCCGTGTCCCCTGCATCAGCAGGCGGACTCTCAACCACTGCGCCACCAGGGAAGCCCTAGGTATTACTATTATTAAGTCCAGATGTCCTCACTGCAAAATAGTGCTTGTTCTGTTAGGAATTGTGCAAGTTAGGCTTAAATCCAGTTCTCTCACTTCTTTATTTAACATGGAAGAGCTTAATAATGTCAAGTGAGGACATTAGAACCTACTTTATCACAGAAAGCTCCTGTATTCTGGATCTTCCCATTTTTAGAACATCATGTGCTCTTAGAGACGTCACCAAATGAATTTCATAGTCCAACAAGCTCCATGCATAAGAATGTGAAGGTAATGGTACTTATTTTGTTCAAACAGGCAAAGTCAGGCTGTGAAGATTTAGTGAAACCTTAATTCCACCTGTGGGCGTTTTCAATTCTGTCGCTGAGCACCTCATTTGTTTCAGTCACTGGGCTATGTGCCCAAGATACAAAGGTGATAAGACCCAGTACCCACCTTCCATCCAGTGGGGAAACAGGAAAGAAAATTAACAATTAAAGGATGAAGGAGAAGTATTTAGGTGATACTTGGACAATGGAGGAGAGCTACCTGCTGAGAAGGTTGCTCAGACTTTGGGGAGTTTTGGCATTTAAAGAAATGTGATAGAGTCAGTCTTGGTACCTGGTAATACAGAAGGTGCATCATATTAAGACATGGAATTTGCTTCAAATTGAGTGGCATTTAGCGCCTAGTTAGATTTTTGTCTGTTTCATAATCCTCATTCCCCACCCTGCCCTGACTGGGCCAGTCCACTAAACGTTGGGGCCATTTAATACAAATAAGAGGAGAAGTTTTATTGTTTGGGATACAGAGACACGAAAGAGTGTGCATGTGGCCTTGAAAGAAAGGAAGTACTCAGAGAGCACTGAAACAAAATGAAGATTTGAGAATTGGGAACAAAAGTAACAAAAAGCTGGCACCCTGGAGTTACTGAGACTAAACAGTCTCCAGGTGCCTGGGGCAACAGAACTGTGAGTAGAGTCTACTTACAGTCTACTACAATTCTCAATTATAAATACAGTTATTTGGAAATAAGGACATTTGTTTGGTAAATAATTCAGAAACTGTTCATATCAGTAGAAGCTGCCACTGTTCTCATTAAAGAAAGGTATTTAACAGTATAATTGACAATAATGTTATATAACAATGGCGCCACTTGCCTCCTCCACTAAGTTTAAAACTGGGTTTGTTAAAAGCATATGAGGGACTTCCCTGGTAGCGCACTGGATAAGAATCTGCCTGCCAATGCAGGGGACATGGGTTCGATCCCTGGTCCGGGAAGATCCCACATGCCGCGAAGCAACTAATCCCGTGCGCCACAACTACTGAACGTGCGCGCCTAGAGCCCGTGCTCCGCAACAAGAGAAGCCACTGCAATGAGAAGCCCACGCACTGCAGTGAAGAGTAGCCCCCACTCTCTGCAACTAGAGAAAGACTGTGGGCGTCAACGAAGACCCAACACAGCCATAAATAAATAAATAATTTAAAAAAAAAAAATGGCCCATGAGAGTATTCTGGCTAATAAATAAAGAAGAAATGAGAGAAATAGAATGTCATCATTTTTGTAACACCTAATGAACGAATGGGTCTGGCCGCTGGTTGTCAATGGCTACTAATTTCACGGAGTCAAGCAGATATTAGCTACCTTCTGATGGAAATACAAAACACCATCTATAACATCTTGCCAAAACAACCAACTAACCAAAAAAAATTCTAACCCAAATCTGAGTAAGCCTCTTTATTTAGCTACCAATTTATAGGAAATATGTGGTTCAGAGGAACATACTATGGGGGTTGCAATCCTCAAGATCTAGGCTATGAGAATCTGCAAGGTAAATGACCTTTCTTTAACAAATAAATAGAAAGGAAAAGGAAAAAAAAATTGGTTGGGGAACATATGGACCTGTTCTGTCCAATATAGTAGCCAGTAGCCACATGTGGCTATTTAAATTTAAATTGGTTAGAATTCAATAAAATTTAAGATGCATTTCCTGGGGAATTCCCTGGAGGTCCAGTGGTTAGGACTCCATACTTTCACTGCCGAGGGCCCAGGTTCAATCCCTGGTCGGGGAACTGAGATCCAACAAACTGCTCAGCGTGTCCAAAAAAATAATAATAATAAAAATAAAAATCATTTCCTCAGTTGCACTAGACTCATTTCAGGTGCAATGGCAGAAAGTTCTATTGGACAGCGCTGCTATAGACAGAGGTGTGCGATCTGTTTCCATTGCATAGATCTTATTTGAATCCTAATTCAAGAAAATAGAATTTAAAGTTTTAAACAGGGAAATTTGAACTGACCAGATATTTAATGATATTAAAGAATCGTTTAAATAATTAGGTGCGATAATGGTATGGTGATAATCTTTTTTTAAAAAGAGAGTTCTTATATGTAGGAGGTACATGCTGAAAGAGATACAGATGAAATGAAATGATATCTGACATTTGCTTTTTTTTTTTTTTTTTTTTTTTTTTGTGGTACGCGGGCCTCTCACTTGTGGCCTCTCCCGTTGCGGAACACAGGCTCCGGACACGCAGGCTCAGCAGCCATGGCTCACGGGCCCAGCCGCTCCGCGGCATGTGGGATCTTCCCGAACCTGGGCACGAACCTGTAGGGGACTCTCAACCACTGCGCCACCAGGGAAGCCCTGACATTTGCTTTTAAATAATATGAGGAGATAAAACAAAATTGGCTACTAATATTTTGATTATTGTTGAAATTGGGTGAGAGGTACAGTAACGATTCATTCGAATTATTCTCTTTGCTTTTATAAATGTTTGCCACTTTCCCTAATAAAAATGTTCTCATTTTACATGTTTGAAACGTTCCATAATATAATAACATTTTTTTAAAAGAAGCAGACAAGCAGCTACCTGTTTTTTTGGCTGTGTTGGATCTTCGTTGCTATGCGTGGGCTTTCACTAGTTGCGGCAAGTGGGGGCTACTCTTTGCTGCAGTGCGTAGGCTTCTCATTGCGGTGGCTTCTCATGTTGTGGAGCACAGGCTCTAGGCTCACAGGCTTCAGTAGTTGTGGTGCACGGGCTTAGTTGCTCCGTGGCATGTGGGATCTTCCCAGACCAGGAATCAAACCCACGTCCCCTGCACTGGCAGGCACATTCTTAACCACTACACCACCAGGGAAGTCCCGCAGCTACCTGTTTAAATGCGACTGGTGGGTATTTGCTAAGTGGCACCTCTTTAGCAATAGCACTCAAAACATTCCGTTCCTCTTAATGGCTCCATGTACCAAAAACACAGACCGATCAGCTTCTTCCTTAAAAGATGTTGTATAGACTCTCTTCTCTCCCACCTCTTTTTACCTGGAGAACAAAAGAGGAGAAAAGTGTTGCGTGAAAAGTGTGCATTCTTTCCACTGGTCTCCCAGAAGGTGATAGTACAGATCCCAGACATTCTGGGATCTTAGGCCAACAAGAAACCAGGAGACAAGTGTCTTTATAGAATATCAGAGAAGGCATGGTTAGTGGAGTTGTGCCATTGTTGGATGGCTTGTTCAAAGTTGCGTTCAACCATTTGAGTATAGTTGTAATGGCTGACCCAATAGCCAGAAGCCTGGAGTGCTGGTGCCCGCCATAGCAATCCCCATCTATGGTGAGAGGAAGAATGGTCCTTAATCTGTCTGTAAGGCTTCCTCACCCAACTTCCTTATACTTGGCATCCCCCAGCTAGATTGATGAGTTTTACACAATATATGCAACACAAAATATGGCAACACAAATAATATTTTATTAACAATGATTCATTCCTGTAAAAGTATTTCCATAGCACTCCCCAAATAAACTTTTATGAGAAATAAAGGGGGCAAAGGCTCCTGCCCAGTTGAGGACCACTTCCTAAACCCCTCTCCGTCTCACCCTGTTCATTCCCTGTTGATGATTTTGCTTTCCTCTCTTTCAAGTGCAACTCATCGTTGGAACGTCTTTGCATAGCCCCATCCTGGAAGAAGCTCTGTGATGTGTGGATCGTGAGTTTGCTCAAGCAAATTGGACTCTTTACAAGGAATAGCTAGATTTGAAGACTAGGATGGAAGAGCCAGCACCAGTGGAAGGCCAGGGCCAGCTCCCAAGCCCCCACCAGGGCTCTCTGAGGAAAGCCATGGCAGCTGCCCTGGCCCTTGATGGGGAATCCACACTGGGTCGCAGGAAAAAGAAGAAGAAAGAGTCCCGCCCAGAATCTATTATCATCTACCGGTCAGAGAGTGAGAAACTGGATGAGGAGCCTGGGGAATTAGAAGGTGGAGATCAGCCTAAAGAGGAGGAGGGAGATGATTTCCTAGACTATCCTGTGGATGATGGTAAGTCTCTCTGGGGCCACCTACTTAAAGCCACAGGAAGGAAACCAAATGAGGATCCTCCAGAAGACAGACAGGCATTTGCTCACTGACGTACTTCTTATTGATACATTTCTTCTCGCAGTGTTGCAGTCTTCATTCAACAAATCGATAGTATTTGTTGAGCATTTATTATGTTCTCTTCTAGGTGATACAGAAGAGATCTCTGCCCTTTTGGAACTCCTTGTGTAATGGAAGAGACCGATTTATACACAAAAAATAGTAATACAAGACAACCATGCTAACTATTTAATACATGTAAGATAAAGAAACTAATATTTGACTTTCATAATAATCAGGAAAATGCGAATTATAACAACGAGTTATAGTAATCCTTCACATGTAGGATGGCCAAAAATTGGGTAAAACATGATAACATCAATGTGTGGAAATGGATATATTCTCGAATACCTCATGTGGAAGAGGAATCCGCTTCAGGGAAATTTGTCAATATCTATTAAATTTAAAATTCAAAATATGCATAGCCTATGTCCAAGAAATTCTCAGTATCTACCTCATGCCCATGTGCGTAAGGAAGCATGTATAAGAATGTTTGTTGCTCTTAAGGAAACTGTGGAGTGTCCATATTAAGTGTCACTACACAGCAATAGATGGATGAGGTAGATCTCTGTGTCGATGGTCACCCCTAAGACATACGCCCAAGGCATTGAACAAGATGAGCAATGCCCCTGCCCTCATGAAGTTTACCTTCCAGTCAGGGGAAGACAGACAGCAAAAAGTCAGCAGATAAGAGACAATTACAGGTAGTAGTATGGGTTCCAAAGACAGTAAACCTCAGTGATGGGAAGATGAGCAAGTGAGGGAGGCAGGTGGAGGGAAAGATTGCGTGATTGGGGATGCCTCTCGGAGGAAGGGACGTTTGCTCTTGAGGCAGCCCCATTCTGTCCGTCTACCAGCCAGGGGGCTAGGAGTCCACAGGGCCTGGGGGACATGCCAACCGAAAGCCTATACCCTCCTCCCATCCTCCACTTCTAGACTACACTTCACATACTATGGACTGTGGATTTTGCTGTTTCACTACCTGCAATCTCACTGCTGGGATGGCCAAAGAGTGGCTGTTTGGTGGGGGTGGTGGTGATGGTAGTGATGGTAGTGGTGGTGACGATGGTGATGCTGGTGGTGGTGATGCTGGTGGTGGTGATGCTGGTGGTGGTGGTGGTAATGCTGGTGGTAGTGGTGGTGATGCTGGTGGTGGTG